TAATCGCTCGTTCGGATCCGGTTTAAGTGCTCTCATTAAAGGGATGGGCACAGTGGTCCTGACGAGATTAAATTTTAACTGTCCAAATTAAATATGAATTTAAAGTTTTTTTATTTTTTATTTATTAAAATAAAAATAAAAAATATAATTTTTTAATAATTTTGCTTTATAATTGTTTATTACCAATTTGGATAATTTAAATTTAATTTAAATCATTTAAATTTAATATTAAATTTTTTTATAAATTAACTATTAGATTTACACCGAACCTTTCGGTTTTAAAATTTTTAACTTATAATTTTTGTAAATAAAATATTTTTATAAAATTTCAATTAAAAAATTATCTTTATTTTTAATATTATATTTATTAAAAGAAAATTTTAAAAAATTTAATATTAAATTTAAACTATTCAAAGTACATCTAGATAGTTAACTAATAAAAAATATAAGTTTTATTGAATCATCTGGATTAAATCTATGCTGTCTAAATTGGTTGTCAATTGCTTTATTAAAAAAATTGATAAAATTTAGAATTTTAAATTTAATAATATAAAATAAAACTAAAAATAAAAATTTTAAATTTAAACCATCTAAATTAAATTTAGACATTTCAAATCTCATCAACGATAATGGGCACCATTTGGATGAACACTAAAACCAGATCCCCTTCCTATATGTTATACTAGTAATCAATTATTCTTCCTCTGATATTTAGTAATTATAAATTAGTGAAAAATATTTTTTGACATATTTATAAGTTGTATTATTATATTTATATAAGAAGTTTTCTATTTTATTTTCATTAAATTAAAAAATATGTTGTTAAATTATATATGCATAGTATAATATCCTAAATTTTATGTAGGGATTTAATTGTGAAAGTTGTAGATAATTGGGGGAATTTAATTTGAGGAATTATTTTAAATGATGAAATTGGGCACTTAAGGATTTAATCGAGGAAATTTGTGTATTTGAGAATTTATGTTGATCTAAGCTTATGGATGTTAATCAAATATTTAGGCTCTTAATTATGATTTACATTGGGCCTAAGATCATGTACTAGGGTTATTTAGGATTCAAAATAAGTTTGGATTGGTTTGGGCCAAATTATTGAGCTTAAGTGAATATTTTTGACACTGTGTCATATGTTGTGACATGTGCACGTATGCCATGGCATATAACATGTTTTAAGGATTTATAGTTCTATTTGAAAGACGAAACAAAAGTGAGGGTTTTTGGTAAGGCTAAGGACAAAAATTGAATGCTCTGTTAGGGTTTAGTTTAAGGCTTTGACTATGCACAGATTTAGGCTCCCAATTATCTAAGATAACTTATTTAATCACTCTCCTACTATCTAATCTTCCTTTTGAGCTAGATGTTGTGATTAGTATAGCTAGGGTTTTATTTTTAAGGATATCTAACCCTTAGGTCAAAATATAATGGATGTTTTGAAGCTATATAAGTGTCGTTTAGGTAATTTTGATATTGCTTATGCTAAGGGGATGATTATATTCAAAAATCCTAGGTAGTTAAGGGACGATTAGTTATGATTTGAGTTTTTAAAAGTTAAATTTATGTTCAAGAGGTGTAATGAGGATAAATATGACTAAGTTTGGTGATTAAATATATGAGAGTGTGTTAAGGTTATGAGATTAATTAACCTAACTTTAGTATTAGAGTGTGATTAGTGTATAGATACTTTGTTTAGCTATAATTGGCATAACAATAATCAGTATCACATTGTTTGTAGATCATGATTTTGATGCCATTGGAGGTGATAGTCTACTTATTAAGGAAGCTCTATCAGCAAGGGGCAAAGAAAACCGTTGTTAATGTGTGACAATATGTGTGTGTGTGTGATTGATTATGTGTAATTTTATTATGTTAGATAAATTATGTTTTGTGTGAAAATATATATATATGGTGTAATCATGCAAACTGTTTTGTTCGAATTGTTTGAATGATATTTGTTTGAAAAATAATCTTGTATGCCCACTTAATAATCATATGATTAGTTGCATTGCATACATCATTATATATTATTTTTGGTTATTGAGACCTTTGTGTCTCACTCCTCATAGTTAATATTTTTATAAAAAAGAGTTCAGTTAAAGAAACATCAAAAGCATAGCTTGATGTGAATAGATACCATTAGGCCTCATCTGCCTTCTTTTGGTTAATTTATGTATAATTTCTAACATTAGGGCATTAGTTTTGCAAATGAGCATGTAACTCACACTTTTGATTAACTTTCTATATGATTTCCATGAAATAGTTTTTGATGACATTCATGACCATTGATATGCTAAGATGCTTCTTTAGGTATTTTGAATGAAAAAAAAAGATCCTATGCCACATGTTATAGCATTATATATATTGTGTTGAGTGGCTGTAACTTTATTACTAGAATTGTATATGCATGTGTCAATTTGTTAATGTAAAATGGTTGTTTGGAATAGATTTGAGTTGGTCAAATGTCCCACACATTAGCCATTGGCTTTGGTTTTGGATTTGTGAGGTGAAAAAGTACATTTTAATCCTTAATAGGTTTTGGTAGATAAAATTCTCATATGGAGGAATTTTACACCAAAACTAAAGCCATTAGCTATATCTTTTAATAAACTTCATGTCGACATTTGAACAATTCAATTTGAATATTTGTAAAAAAAGTTATGTTTGTTTGAAGCTCTTAATCATTGTTTATGTTGTCAACATGCTAATGTGTCACCGCCATGGCATACATCATAAAGGGTGAATTTTCCTCGGCATGTGGATCAAAAGTTTTTTAGAATTGCCTTTGTTAATTTTTTTCACTTCTTTTTGAGTTTTTTTAAATAAATTAGTTTCTTGGGAACCATGTTTTGTTCTTAAATACCCTTTTTTATTATTTTAGTAATTTTAAACTATTGATTTTCAATGGTATGCCATTAGGTATAAATTAATTAACGTAATATACTAATTATTTCATCTTACTTATGTTGCTTATTTCCTAAATTATCATTGTAGGCTTATTTTATTATGTTTAAACCTTTTTCTACCATTGTTGATTCTTTTTTACCATGGTAGCCCATTTTGGATAAATTTTTTATGGTAAAAAAAGCTTTTTCAACTATTATAAATCTTATAAAAATGATTTTAATTCTTAATTTCTATGATGGCCCTTTTCTACTATAGTAGAGTTAGAGATGATATCCAAAACTCTATCTACCATGGTATAAACCTTTACTCCCTCTAATTTTATTTATAGGGTAGAAAGAGAAAAAAAATTTTAGTCCTATTTATAAGTCATATCATTAAATTTTTATTATAAATTTTCTTTTTTACCCTCCATTGAATGTTGGAGAGAGAAAATATGTTATTGAAGTGTGTATATTTAATAAGGATAAAGTTTAGAATTTATTAAATTTTAAGACAAAGTTAATGAATTTTAAGATTTTCCTTGGTACTGGTGAAATATGTTGCAAGTGACTTATAAATAGGATCAGAGGAGTATTATTTATCATGATAGTATTTTGAAAAAAAAATAGTTTTAATCTTCATTACTATATGGTAGATGCTTTTTTGCCACAATAAATGTTTAATAGTAAATATTTGATTATTTTATCATATTTCATGAAAAATCAGAACAAAATTTTAAAGTATTACACATAAATTCCACCCCCACTCTAAATCGAGATAATCAATGTACTTTTTTGTTCCCCCGATAATGGTTAGCGGGACCGGGTCAACTAAAGGACTCAATTCCTGTTTCAATAACATTGAAGACTTAACTATTATAGATTATAAAAAAAATGCTGGTATGAAGTATTACATTTAATTGGAGTTGGCAGGGTTGAATCCGATCTTGGCAATGTTAGATGCAACTAAATGCAAAAGAAAAAAAAATTATTTGCCCAGAATATCAATTATTAACCGTGTAATATATGTACTCGTTGATATTTATTAAACACTCTATAATTGATCTCTTAATATAAGATAAATTTAATCAACATCCCATTTATTGAGAATTAACGTTAGTTATATTTTAAAAAATGTTAAAAAATATGTAACTTTCTAATGTTACTTTATATCCTTTGCAGTCAGTAACAACAATAAATTGATGTTCAAGATTCAAACCAATGTAAATAAACAAGAGGTGAAATTTAAAATTAAAAGAAAATTAATTACTCAAACTTTGTTTTATATTAAGAACTGAAAAAACTTTCAAAATTTACCTTATATTAAAGTCTGGAAGGATGGAGTAGGCAATTATGTGTAAAATCTAGTAACATTATTGTCACACACGCAAACCCCATTTGATTCTTCATTTAAGGCAAAATTTAAAATATAATGCAAAATTAGAGTAATGAATTGTTTTTCTAATTTTACCCCTGTTTGAATTTCAAAACAACAATTTAATATATGATGGTCATTAATTTCAAAGAAGGACAAAATGAAAAATGATATATATTTTAACAATTTTAAGAATATGATTATCATTTTTTTTATAAACTATGATTATCATTTTCTTAAGAAGCGTTTGATTAAGTTTGTCTATATCATTAAGAACCTGAGGAACCATATATATGACATGCTTCAATTAATAAAGGGACCGAAATTAAAGTTTGGGGCGTAGATGTAATAGAAACTGCAGTAAGATGATCGTAGACAAGAAACAACGTTTATATGGGAACAAGGAAGATGAACAAGAGGGTATTTTTTCTTCTGTTGAATGTTTAAGGTATGATCCAATATTCTTGTGCTTGTGCGCGCGCGCGCGCATATATATATATATATATATATCCTTGCATTTGAGCAAAATATAAACATCAATAAGTCAAAGTAATAGGGTCCTATCGTCTCCAAGTTCCAGACTTCAATAAAGTTAGTTGACGGATCGGTGGGGCAGGAAAGTTGGGTGTTTCAGTATCAAAGAGAATAAGATGGGTTCCAGTTTCGGCGTTAATCACCTTTGTGATGGTTCCCAAACAAGCTGGCTATAAATACAGTGTTGGAAGAGCAGAACATCGCATCTTCACAAAAAGAAACAAAGTCTGCTTCTTCAAGATGGAGGTGGCAAGTGTGCCACAGTTTCTTAGGGGAAAGACGATGTTGGTGACCGGTGCAGCAGGCTTCCTAGCAAAAGGTTTCATCTCCAGCCTTTAAATTTCTTAATATAAACGTATACCATATATGTGGGCAACAGATTAAATTAATTGATAATTTGAAATGCATAGTATTTGTGGAGAAGGTGTTGAGGATTCAATCAGATTTGAAGAAATTGTATCTTCTTCTCAGAGCTTCTGACTCTGAGGCAGCCACACAACGCTTGCACGACGAGGTACATCAACTGATCCTTCAGTTTTTTTTTTAAACAAAATATTATACAGTAAAAAGCTAGTTAAAATATAATAATTCATATCTTGAATTAAAACAAGAGTTGGCTGTGTACAGATCATAAGGAAGGACTTGTTTAGAGTTCTACGAGATAAGTGGGGTGCAGATTTTGAATCTCTGATAGCAGAGAAGGTAGTTCCTGTTGCCGGAGACGTTTCTCTTGCCAATTTGGGTATTAAAGATGCGAGTCTTGAAAAGATGTGGGAAGAAATCGACATTATTGCTAACTTTGCCGCAAATACCAACTTTGATGAAAGGTATGCATGTTATCAAATATAGATGGTCAACTACCAGAAGGAAACTCTTCGAAACTAATTAAAACATCGAGTCCATTAGACTTGTTGATAACCGTTCTTTTTTGTTTAGTAACATTTTGCTTCATGAATTAAAAGCCTTTTCTATTATGAAATTTGTGAAAGATTGACCGTGAATGTATGGGGGATTCATTGAAAAATAATTATCTAATAATTTATATTAAAAAAGATATTTTTTTATATTGACAATGAAATGATTGCTTAACAATTTTATAATATAAAGTTATGAAGAGTACAATATTTTTTTAAATTATTAAATTATTTTTAAATTATTAATTTTAAAAATATTGCGCTCGATGATGTCCCAAGGTCCTAGCATGGTCTGGGTGAGATAATCATCCATATTGAGGATAGAGGAGGCAATTGCTCCTATGAAATTAGCAAAAATTACATTACTTTTTATTTAAATTACACTTGCCCTCTTTTTGAAATTGCAATTGCCCCCATGACAAATAAATTTTCCCCACATTTTCTTTAAAACTATCAAGCTTATATATTTAAAAATATTATTTACCCCTTTTATTTATAATAAAAATAAATTTATGATGTAAATGAAATTAAGATATATTTTTAAACTTTTCATATAATTTATTTATATATTACTTTATTATTACTTAAAATTATATTTTTAAAAAAAATGTTAATGTTTATATTTGGTATAAATATCGCCCCCATTACTAAATTTTCTAGATCCCTTGTTAGGTGAGATAATTGCCCAGAGGGTACTTAATTTGATCATAAGGTAACTAATGCAGATATGACATCGCCATGGAGATTAATACAATGGGGGCTTTACATGTGTTGAACTTTGCAAGGAGCTGCCATAAGATACAGGTTTTTCTTCACGTATCAACTGGTATGTTTGATTATCGTACGAGCCATCAAGCTAGTCGATCACTTGATTGAATCACAATAATCAACAAAATAACTCTCATCACTTTACTAAGTACTTTTCCGTGCCCTTGCAACTACAAAACTTAACTACATGCTACTAATAATTTCAGCTTACGTTTGTGGAGAGCCTGAGGAAAGAGAACTGATTAAAGAGGAACCATTCCGGATGGGTGAATCCCTAAAAGAGGGCTTCAGAGCATTAGACATTCACGCGGAAAGGAATTTGGTGCAGAAAACAATTGAACAGCTCAGATCAAAATATACTGGCAACGATGTGGCCATTACATCTGCCATGAAAGATTTTGGAATCAAGAGGTTCTTTCACATGCATCTTAATTGATTATATACCCATCTCCTTTCATGTTCATATATGTTTCTTCTTTTTTTGGGAAATAATCTTCTGTTTTTTAAGAAATTACTTAATAAAGCATTAATTTTGTTATGAAAACATATATGAGGAGAAGAGTAAGTTACTTAATTAATCTTATATGTTTAATACACTTCTTTTCAAATGACAATAAGTAAAATTTAAAGTATCAATAATATTATTGATAAGAATTCATTATAAAATAAATAATATATAAAAAATCTAGATGTCTTTATTTAATTAAAAATAAACATTTTTAATATATAAAATTAAATATATATAAATTTTACCACCCAATCAAACCAATTTATCCGGTTTGGCCAAACACCAAAAACCCAGTCTAATCGAAAAATAGTATCTAATCCAGTCAGGAAATCCGACCAGAAAAAATGCTAAAACAGTTGACTGTAAAAATTGTCAAGGTAGAAAACTTCACTGTGGCCTATAGGCCCATAACTGTTTAAAGCAGTCTGTCCCGATCTTGGAACTTCCCTTTCCTTGAACCTTGCTGGCATTAGCTTTGATGAACCTCCTGATTTTGACTAAATCAACCGAACCCTCAAGATTTAGGCAAAGGGACTAGGAAACTTGAACACAAGAGAGGAGAGAGCTTGGATGAGAGAACTTGAGACCTTAGAACTTTGATTACTTTCCTTATTGTTTACAAATGAGGGGTTGTGGGTATTTCTAAGCCTCCTCTTTTTTCTAGAAAATTTCAACCTCCTTAATGGACAGTAGAGATCAATCTAATCTCACAATTTACATTTATCCTCTAGAGTGTTTCATAAAAATATCTACAACAAATATCTAAATATTTACACAGATGTTTTTAGAAACTAACCTTCAAGATATGTCTTTTTTTTATTTGATTGTTTGAACTTATTTTCCTACATGCAAACATCTTTTTCATATATATATATATATATATATATCCAAATACTTACATATCTTTTTAAACAAATCTAGTTCTTGTTTCCTTTAAAAAAGGTAATCACCATCTCCAAAAAATCAATTACAATTTTTCTGAAACTCCAAAAAAGATAAGAAAATTAATTTAAACTTCTCTATCATATTTAAATGTTTTAGTTTAATTACAACCGATCCAACTACTATTTAACCTTAATTTGACCATTAGATCATGAACTAGTGTTTCAACCAATTTAATGGCCCTGGTTCTTATAACATTGTATGTAAACACTGACTCTAGTATCATGAAGGTAAATTATAACTACATATTAATAAAGTAAAAGCTAAAGTATTCCTTTAATCATTTAATTTTATACAATATTTCATTTTGATACTTTAATTTTATAAATTATTTTTTCAGTTCTTTAATCCTGACATTACCCAAAAAGAATTTACATTAAATTTTTAAATATTGATAAAATATTATCAAATGTTAATATATTAAAATTTAATTTTTTTAAATAACAATGATTGATATAAAATAATTATTTGAAACTAACAGTGCTAAAATTAGAGTACTAAACAAATACATTATAAAATTAAAAAATAAATTAAAATATTATATAAAATTAGAGCAAAAGTATATTTTAACCTATAATAAAACCACGTCCTGTTTGTTTTGTTTAAAACTACAACTATTTATTAATATCATTTACTCTGTTTTTTTTAATTAAAAAGTCAATCTTATCTTTCATATTATTACATTCAAATAATTAAATTTATTTATAACACGTATTTGAATTACAATAAAACTAACACTAGAAAAAGTAATTTATTTTATTTGTTGTATTTTGACACTAAACACAGAGCAAACTTGTATGGATGGCCAAACACTTATGTATTCACAAAAGCAATGGGAGAGATGCTTCTGTCACGATATAAATGTGAGATTCCGTTAATTATTATTCGCCCTACCATGATCACAAGTACCTACAAGGAACCCTTCCCTGGTTGGATTGAAGGTTTGAGGTATGTGTGTATACATAATATAAATTCCTTTTTACTCTCACAATAAATTAAACACTCCAAATTAAATGTGAATAATACAATATTTAATATAATTTCGGTTTTACAGAACACTTGATGCCGTAGTTGGTGGCTATGGCAAAGGAAAAATAGCATGCTTTCTTGGTCATCCTCAGACAATTTTAGATGCGGTAAGGTTGATCATATATTTTTTTATTAATTTCTCTATAATATATCAAGGGAAGTTAGATATAATTAGTGCATATTTGGAACCAAATTTTTGATTAAGTTCTTAGTTATTTTTCCCCAAAAAAAACACACAACCCTTGACTGACACAAGTGGTAATGGCTATTTATTTTAACAGAGCAATTGCTTTATTGTGGTGAAATTGACTGTATTACGATATAATAATAATGTGTAGATACCAGCGGATATGGTGACAAATTGTATTCTGGCGGCAATGGCAATTCACTCGAACAAATACATATACCATGTTAGCTCATCATTAAGAAATTCTCTCACAATTTCTCGTCTCCATGATAATTCGTATCTTTATTTCAAAAACAAACCCTTTACTGACACAAGTGGAAAGCCAACCATCATATCCAAGGGACTCATTTTGTCAAGTATGGCTAGTTTCCATGCTTACATGTTGATTCGATTTGTGCTCCCACTTAAGGTATAATTGAACTTGGTACCTAAACTTGTTGTAATTTTGAAGTGTTTAATTGTATATATGCTAATTGATTAATCTTTTTGGTATTGATTTGGTAACTGTGCAAGGCACTGTATCTGGTGAACCAAGTGTTTTGCCAGAGCTTCCGAGACTTTTATAATCGAAACGACAGGAAAGTAAAAATTGTGATACGAATCGTTCAACTCTACAAACCCTATGTGTTTTTCAAGGCATTGTATGTTCCTTATTAACTTTAATTTCCTCTCTTCGTTTGAAATTATGCACATTTATTATCCATGTGTATATGCTACATTTGAAATAGCGGCAAAGTTCGAGTTAATGATTTAATATCACAGGTTTGACGACACGAACACAGAAGAATTGCGGGAAAAAGCAAAGATGGTAAAGGATGATGGGTTTGACTTGGGGTTTGATCCCAAAAGCATAGATTGGACTGACTATTTGATGAATGTACACATTCCCGGCCTCGTCAACTACGCTATGAATTCATCTCCCAAATTGCCCAGACACGGATGAAGCTGTTAGGGGGGGGGCAATTAATGATATATTTGACGAACTAATTAATTAACTGAAAAATCCCAGAAGTGTATGATTTACCCATGAACTCGATCTTTAATATGGAAAATAACCGGTCAAGTTTGCTAAGCGACTCTGTCAAATTAAACAGTGGGGTGGAATTTATTTGATTTATGTAGCATATTTATTGTCTTGCTACGAACTTCATCGTTATTTTATTTTATAATTCCGTTTATAACATAGAATATATCACGTTTCCATTCTTTCATTATCCATGTTTGGTTGCTTTTAAAAGGCACAGAATGGCCTTTCTTAAAAATGGGGATTACCATATTTTTAGTAGGGATATTCTTAAAAAATGAGAGGGATCATGTCACCAGCCTAAAATTCACTATATATATATATATATATATTAATCAAAATGTCCTTGTAAACTTTTTCATGTCTATGCTTGTTTCCCTCGTGTTTTTTTTTTTTCATTGTTGTCTCATATTCAATACTTTTAATCATATAAAAATATTTTTTGATCCAATATTTTTAATCTTATAAAATATATTTTTTCTTTAAGAGGTCTTTGAATTTAGTCAAAATTAAAATTTAATTCCATGTGGATGGTATTTATCTTTCTTAATTTTTCTCTCTTATAAAATAAAATTTAAATTTAAAATAGTTTGATTTTTTTTTTGGAAGAAACGTTAATGTGTGTGGGGGGGGTATATTATATATATATATAAACCTGTATGAAAAAAATGTCAAAGGAAAATAAAAATGCCAATTGCATAAAAACATGAAAAAAAAAAAAGAAAAGAAAAGGTTGTTGTTTCTGTCTTACTATGGTGATAATATTATGGTTTTTAAAAAAGAAAAAATGACTATTAAGAATCTCATAAGATAATTAATTACAATAAGGTACCTCGAATTGTTGAAATTTCAATAATAGATCATGGTCCTTATTTAAAATTAAAAACATATATGAGTTTACAAAATTATCCTTGAGTATTACAAATACTATTATGGATTGGGACTATTGTTAATTAGTCTTAACCTAAAATAGTAATTTTAGTAGTATTTTTTTATTTTTCAAGTGGTTTATCTATATTAACAAGCATAAAAATTCAAAAGTGATTGACTTTATTTTTAAAAGCAACTTTGGTAAATTTTTAAGTGACTATCATATATTCATAAATGTTTTTTAAAAGTTTCATAATTAATTTTTAGCTTTATACTAGGAAACACCTATTCCCAAGTGTGGATCCTAGTTTTTCAAACTAACATTAATAATAGTTCCAACTCATTATAATAAATTCCAATAGTGTCTTTTTTTATTTTTCAAGTGAGGGGAATTTTGTAAACTCATATTTGCTTGTAATTCTAAATAAAGACTATAGTCTATTACTGTGATATCAATATTTTGGGGTCCCTAATTATAATTAATGGTCTTATAAAGTTCTTAATTGTTATTTTCTCTTTAAAAATAATGTAAATAAACTTCATATTCCTACACACTTAAGTTTTTTTTTTTAACGAAATACACACTTAAGTATTTTACTAAATAAATTTATAGTCATGATCATTTCATTCATTTCCGTTTCCCTATCATTACAATCCTTTCTATTGCTTCCTTCTCTTTGAACTAAACAAGACATAAATCTGTTAAATTAAACGTAGTTGAGGGATTGTATGGATAAGGTGTGGTCCATCAATAATGGAAGGAGACCACAAGTTAGCGTGAGAGGGAACCTATTTATTTGTTTATTTTGCATCAAAATGAGAGGGAACCTACTTGGTCGATTGTCGAATGCGCCTCACGCTTCTCTTCACTCCAACACTACTCACATGTAGTATTCATTATTGAAGGGATCACCTCAAGTTAATTAGGTCTATACATGTGATTGAACAAATTACTAATTTGAATGGTAGAGCCGGCAACACTGGACTGCGTACTCCTAATGTTTAATTTTATGGAAGGGCAAGATAAGAAGAAAAATATTTAAATGGTTTAGATATTATTAAATTGGACTACTGCATTTTGAACCGAGTTAAGTTGGGAAGAAAGGAAAATAATCATCGTCAAAGCCTAAAAATTAAACTCACTTCATTATCTGTTCCTGTACAGCAACATCAAAGCATTCGCTCTCTTAAATAAAATTAGATAAGCGAGTTAATTAGAATAAAAATTGTCAATCCGCTTCTTCTAGATTCTAGAGGGATTGAGAAACAAGTATGAAGAAAAAAAATGGGAACTGAATTGAGGTGTTAAAGCCCAGCTAATTGAGGGTTTTTTAAATCATCTAAATATATTAAAAAAAAACATGAAATGCGCCTCATCAGTCGTCGTACGAACAAAATATCTTATGTGTGAGCGTTTTTATACGATCATAACCTTATCAACTGGCCTCATCTCCCAACCAACTAAAAAAATAATCAACAGCCTTGATTCGTGATTTCATGTTGAGCAGATTATATCATGTTTCAAACAACGGCTATAAATACATCTTTGGGAAGAATATATTTTTGTATAGGTCTTCATATAGCTACGGACTTAACTAACTTGATCCTCTTCTTCGAAATGGAGTTCAGAAGTCTACACCAGTTTCTCAAGGGAAAGACCATACTGATGACCGGTGCAACAGGCTTCTTGGGAAGAGGTTCGTATATATATGAATCGCATCTTTTGAATTTCTGTGCACGTATGCTGTCTTGTACGTAGACTGTAGGCAACGAATTAATAATTTGAAATGTACTATGTCACATTATTTGTGGAGAAGTTATTGAGGTTTCAGTCAGATTTGAAGAAATTGTATCTTCTTCTCTAGCATCTTTGACACCGACACTGCCACTCGACGCATGCACGTTGAGGTAAGTAATAATTAAACTGTCAAGTTTTTTTAATGCTTTTTGGATTTAAGCTAGAGGAACTATATACATGGATGATGGATCTGGCTAAAACCATATGTTATGGCTGGGTACATATATAGATCACATAATGAAGGACTTGTTTTGGGTTCTACGAGACAAATGGGGTCCTGAGTTTGACTCTCATGATATCAGAGAAGGCGAGTGCGGTTGCGGGAGATGTGTCTCTGGTCAACATGTGACTAAATGATGCAAACCTTGAAAAGTTGTGCCAAGAAATAGACATTATTGTCAATTTCGCTGCAGCAACCGAATTTGATGAAAGGGTATTACAGGAAACATTTTCTTGTTTTTGGATTAAAAAAAAAAGTGCTTGTACATGGCCAGAGGGTACTCAATTGTTCGAGGATCAATTATTATCAATGCAGACTTGACATTGCAATGGTACTAACACAATGGGACCTTTGCATGTCTTAAACTTTTCAAGGAACTACTATAACGTACATGTTTTTCACCACGTTTCAACTGGTAATTTCGACCCAAAAAGATATATAGTTAATTGGATAATTGTGTCAGTGATATCATCTATTTGGCTGTAAATTATAGCTTATTTATTTTGACAGACATAAGTCTGCATCATTATTATATTATTTGTTTCCCTGGGAGCCGAGATGTATGGACTAGAGTGGGGTGAATCTTACTTAGGAAAGATAAGATAAAGACACACGAGTGTCACCTTCAATATCGAGTCGTTGAACATGCAAAAGAGTTGGTCCCGCAAGTCCTCCTCAAATTGAAAGTGGTGGGGTTGTACCCTGCTTTTCTCCTCTCCGCTTCTGCTCGTCTATTTTAAAATAAAATTTGGGCTATTTAAAGTTAATATAAATAATTTAGATTTAAAATTTTTATATTTATTAACATAAAAATTTATAAAAATTTAAAATTTTTTAATAAATTTGCCTTATCATTAATATATACATCATTCAAATTTACTATGAATGATCCAAATTTAATATTAATTTTTATAATTTTATAAATTGACTATCTAAGTTTATTCTAGATAATTCAGATTTAAAAATTTTAATTTGTAATTTTTTTATAAAAAATATTCTTGATATTGTATTTACCAAAACAAAAATTTATTGAAAATAATACTTTTTTGTTTAAAAATATAAGGTATTTTTAATTAAATCTCACCCCTCAATAAAACAATATTGTACTTTCAAACTAACCCTATGTTTTTATATTTACCTTTATTAAATACCTTACAATAAATATAAAGACATTATTAATAGGGGTACTTTTTAAAAAAAGACAACGATTACACCTCAAAAAACTAAAAATACCTTATATTTTTTAACATCCAACTCCTCAAAAAATGTAAGACATTTTTTAATGGAGAAAGTATTAAATTTTACTGTTCACACTAAATATAGGCTCTCCACATTGGTGATAAATTAGATTTATTAAAAAAATTAATTTTTATTTTAATAAATATAAAGTAAGGATATAAACTAAAAAATTTAAATTTGAATGATCAAGATTTTATTTTAAAGTAATGGAGGGAAAGTGGAGGGAAATGGTAGAAGAGTTATGCCACGGGCACGAGAGCGTTGGTATATATCAAGGAGATTTATTGAGCTTTTTTATTTGATTAATAATTTTTGGGAGTAGAAATATAACTGAGCTTGATACTACATCTTTAACTCAAGATCTTAATTAAAACATGAGGTTTAATATGTATTAGTCACGGAATTAATTAAACACACGAGGTGTAATATGTCTTTGTCACTGAAACTGGTTCCTCTTACTCACTTGGATACTTCATCCAATATTATTAATATGAAAAGTTGTTTCCACTTTTTTAATTAAGTATCCATAGCCAAATGCTTTGCACATATATGCAAAACAATGAAGTAGAATCCGGACAAATTAATCTCTATAAAATGATTTTGAATATGGTCTATTCACAAAGTACTTATTAAAAAGACACACGAGAATGGAGTTGTATATATGACCCGCATCTCATACTTAAGTATGAGACCCACCACAATAGCTATTTTATTTATTTCTCTCTCCCTCTTAATGTATCATATATCAATTATTCGTTTTGTGAATCTAGAAAAATCGAACCGACATGACACACATGGCAATATAGGCTCTGTTTTGAGCAATTTGATTTGGGCATTGCACATCTATAGATTTCCAAAGCCTTGCTATATATATGCTACTGCCTTTGTATGTACTGCTGATTTCAGCTTATGTTTGTG